GGCTGAGGCAGGAGACTCGCTTGAGCCCAGGAGTTGTAGGTTGCTGTGAGCTGTGATGCCATGGGACTCTACCCAGGGGGATAGCTTGAGGCTCTGTCTCAAAAAGAAAAAAAAAGAAGTTGTATTGAAATAGAGCAGAAATACTTTGGTGTTAGATAGATCTGAGTTTGAATGCTCTGTGATCTTGGGCTGCCTGTTAACCTCAGTAACCTGTAAAATGGAGGTAAGAATAATATCTGCCATATAGGGATTTGAGGATTAAAAGTGATTATCTAGTATAGTGCCTGACACAGACTACACTATCAGTGTATGTTTGGAGTTGTTATTACTGTCTTAATAGCTGATGTTTATTTTTATTCAGTTTCTTCTCAAGGTGAAGCTAACTGTTTGTAAATGTCAAAAAGAAATACAGTAACTTTCTATTCACCCTTTGTAAGTAAAAAGGGTGGATCCTTCCACTGCTGACATATACATACACACACACACACACACACACACACACACACACACACATATGTCTCTTGTTTGATTTGTAGCACAGTTTGAGTACAGGTAAATGGACCATCCATTTTATTCTTTGATGGTATTGTAGTAAAGAAAATATATAAGCCGCTCACTGGGTTTTTTTTGGGGGGGGGTTGTGGGTGGGAGAGTAGGAAAGAGGGAATGCTTGCTTTGAATGACAATTTAACTTTTTTGAAATGAATATGGCACCTCTCTAAAATAATTGATAGGACAAGGTATTTGCGTAGAATGATGGTGTTCTTTGGGGACTTTTGGGGAAAGGACTAGTTAGAGCTGGTTTCAAAGCAGGATCTTTTCCTCCCTCTTCTTTTCTGATCTGGATTTTCACTCTAATTCACTCTTGTCTACCACCATTTTGTTTATTCCCATTTTACAGAGTGCTAGTTGACTCTTTTCTTCCTTTTTTTCTACCTCAGCTCTGGAGAGTACATAGTCTCTCATATACTTAATAGTGTAGTACTTCTACATGATTTGATAATTCTGCTTTTCTTTAGACTTTTTATAACATGTGGCTTTTTTATTTCAGGTTTTTATGATAAGTTCATTTTGCTTCTGGACTTCAACAGTTTATATCCTTCCATCATACAGGAGTTTAACATTTGTTTTACGACAGTGCAACGAGTTGCTTTAGAGGCAAAGAAAGCTACAGAGGTTTGTATTCAACCTGAGATTCTTAAGATTGAGGTTTAAAGAATTGCTCAAAGAAGGAAAAGAGAACCAAAAGGGTTAGCATTTTCATTTTTCCTCTTAAAGGATACATTAATTATATCCTTTTTTAGAGGTCAAAAAAGAAGGGCAGAAAGACCGAAACTGGTTCTGATCGTATTGATACATGTGATTCACATGTCATATAATCCACCTGTTTAAAGTATACAGTTCAGTGGGTTTTAGTGTATTTGCAAAGTTTGCAACCATCGCCACAATCAGTTTTAGCACATTTCTTTGTTATTCCCCAAAGAAACATTTTAGTTGTCTCTTTTCTCAATAGCTCTCTCTCTTTGTCATCGTCTTTTTTTTTTTTTTTTGACTCTATCTTTTCTAGCTCTATGCAACTGCTAATTGTTTTGCTTGTATAGATTTGTGTATTCTGGACATTTCATATAAATGGAATCATACCACAACCACATGCTTGGGAGCTGTTTTTCAGTCCCAGCTTTATATTCCCAGAAGAGAGAATCTGATAGGCTTACCTAGGTCAATCAGCATCTCTGATCTCCATCACCTGTGACTACAGGCGTGTGCTCAGAGACTACAAATCTGATTGCTAACGGTGGGCCTTTCTGTGGCACTAGAGCAGTAGTTCTCAACCTTCCTAATGCCGAGGCCCTTTAATACAGTTCCTGTGGGTCGTGACCCACAGGTTGAGAACTGCTGCACTGGAGGATAATTTTACAGAGAAGGTATTGGGTAAACATCCTCCAAAGGTAGTGACTGCATTTGATTAATATTCTTTGAGCTCTGTGCTGCTGCTGTGCCAGCATTGTGATAATTATTATTATCTAGTTCGCCCCCGCCCCCAACTCTTGTCTACCACCATTTTGTTTATTTGAGCTTTCCAGTTTTGGATTCTGGATATATAATAGAATCATTTTAGAGATGGATAAGGCATTAGAGGTTATTTAAGAAATCCTATATATGTAGTAATGTATAGATTCTGTATTTTCATGCACAGTACCCTCATTTGGTCTTCAAAACAGTGTTACACAGGTAGTGGTGGTAGTAAATTTGGAGTGGATTTTGGAGTGGATTGTAAATTCCCTGACTCCAGATCCTTTCAGTTTACTTTTTTCTGACTTTCATAGTTCCTGTAAATAAATTGGAATGTCTACCAAGATTTCTTTAATAAGTTTGTTATCATCATTTACTATATTGGGAAACAATAGGTCCTTATTACTATTGTAAGAATATTCATTTGAAGATATTGATCTTTATAAAATTAGATGATTTGTGAAGGAGGCTGGGTTATCAAATGTATTGACTTGACGTACTTTAAGCCGAGAGGTTCATTTTTGATTCTGAGCCTTTGAAAGGGCAAATTTGCCTGGCTTTTCTTTGTAGCCTGTTAATAGAATTAATAGAGGCTTGAGAAAAATTGTCTAATGCTTTCCCTGCTGTAAATTTTAATATAAGAAGACCGCTGGTTGCCTTTCTAAAATGTTGTTATTCTTCTACCGATTGCACAGCAATTTATAGGTAAAATGTATACATAAATGCTAAGAAATATACATATATGTATTAATTTTTAGAAATGTCATGGCCTATTTAAATGTGCTCCAAACTCTTAAAAGAAGTTTGCTGATTTAGTATTTAGCTTTTCATTTATAGTCTAAAGTATTTATAATAATTGCTATGATTCTCTGTAGTTTTAAAATTATATAGCATTTTGTTTGGTAGTAAGAATGATTCAAAATGTAGTTTAGCTGCTGGTTATTTTTTTAATCTTAGAGGTCTGTTTTAGCGTTTGCATTCTAAAAACAATTTCTCCAGACATGTTGCTCCCTAGTCTTGTTGAAGAAAGGATAGTAGTATGTTAAAAATTCACCCCTTTAGGGTGGTGACTGTGGCTCAGTGAGTGGGGTGTCAACCCCATATACCGAGGGTGGTAAGTTCAGGCCCAGCCCCGGCCAAATTGCAACAACAAATAAATAAAAAAAATAATAAAGTTTAAAAAAATTCATCCCTTTCAATGAAATCTAAATTTGTGAGTAACTACAAGGGTAGGGGAGAATTGGGAATGACAGATTAGTGGAATTGGGAGAAAAGTGGGCAATGTTGACTTATTCTATAACCCTCTCAGCTCATTCTTAAATTACACTTGAAAAGTGACTTTTCAAGTTGTGATCATGGGCTATAGCTCCCACAAAGTATTATCTTAGGAATTCACTTCACTAAAATTTGATTTTTATGAAATTTCTATTGTTTGTTCATCAGGATGTAGAACAAGAACAGATCCCAGAGTTGCCAGATCCAGGCTTAGAAATGGGTATTTTGCCCAGAGAGATCCGGAAACTGGTAGAGCGGAGAAAACAAGTCAGACAGCTAATGAAACAGCAAGATTTGAATCCAGACCTACTTCTTCAGGTATATCTTTTCACTAAGAGACATCTGAGTGACAGTCTTAGCTTTTGAAATTTGATTATTTGGGAACAGAATAAATAGGCTTCTGTGGGAAAACACATGTGCTTTTATGTTGTGGGTAGGTAAGCACTGAAAGTAGCACCTCAATGGTAGACACTTCTATCTGCAAAGGCTTTTTCTGAGTGAGATTCTTCTGACTCCTGGGAACTTTGGAGTCTGTTTACTTTCTTCTAGGTTATCAGTTGCAAACCAATTGGGAGGGGTCAGGGACTTGTGAAAACAAACTGTCTCTGACCACCCCCATTGGTATTGGACTTAAGGAGTCGTGGATCCAGGAGGATAGATTGACTATATTGAGAGTTTTTTTTTTTTTAGGGGATATTGAGAGTTTTACTTTCTCACTGGTGGTGTAGAAAGATAGCCAATGTAATGTTTAAGCATCCACAAATATTGTTGTTTATCTTTTGTCCTTATGTGGTCTGCAGTATGACATTCGACAGAAGGCTTTGAAGCTCACAGCAAACAGTATGTACGGTTGCCTGGGATTTTCCTTCAGCAGATTTTACGCTAAACCACTGGCTGCCTTGGTGACTTACAAAGGAAGGGAGGTAATGGCTTAATAGAATTCACATATCTAAATATGGTAGTGTTTTTAAATATACATGTATAGTGTGGGAGACCTGTGTTTGTTATTTAGTCATACAGCTTCAAATACTACTCCTTTCTTAAGATAAGTTTGAGACAAATAGGCATTTAAATAAGGATTTATTAATTTATCATTGTGTGTGTGTGTTTATTTATTAAACATTTACTGTGTGCCACACATTGTTCTAGGCCAGTGGTTTGCAGCCTTCCTAATGCTGTAACCCTTTAATACAGTTCCTGTGGGTCACGACCCACAGGTTGAGAACTGCTGTTCTAGGCACTGGAGATAGAATGTCGAGCAAGATGTTAAAGATCCTTGCTATCATGAGGCTTAACATTTTACCCAGAGTGGGATATGGGTTGGGGATGAAGGGTGGGGTGAAGGTAGTTTGGGAAAACAAACTGTAAAAAGAGCAAATAAAGTAGAAGAAATAACCAAGAAAATATGATAGAAGTAAATGTTGTGCAGATAATTAAAGCAGACTGGTGGGCTAGAGAATGTTTACATGGCTAGCTGAGAGTGGTCAGGGAAGGCTTCCTTGAAATGACATGAATAAGACCTAAATGATATAAGGGAGCAAATTTTTTTGCTGATGGATGAGTTTGGAATGTGAAGGAAAGACAGAAATCAGGAGGATAGCTAGTGGAGCCTTTTACTAAGATAAAGGAAACTGGGAAAGGGTTCTATTTTGGATGTGTTGTTTTGGACATGAGTAGTGGATCTTAGGCATAAGTAGGAAGTTGGATGTATAAATCTAGACTTCTAGGAATATGTCAGGACTATACTAATTGATTGGGAGTTATTTGCTTTAGTAAGATGGGTCAGATAACAAACAGGTTTTAGGTACTGTTACTTAATCAACACTGTAAGCTCCACCTGTTTTAGTACTGTGTACATGGGTTTTTCTTAATTTGTAAAAGAATAGTTACAGAAATTCCATTTAACTCTACTAAAATATTGTGTATCAGTAAATTTAAGATTGCTTAATCTTTAAGGAGGTAGTGTGGTGATGAGCAAAATGTTTATATTGGGGGTTTGGACTCCAAATACTCAAGAATAGGGGTTGGCAAACTGTGGCCCAGGAGCCAAATCCAGCTTCCTATCTCTTTTTGTAAATAAGGTTTTATTGGAACAGAGTCAGGCTTGTTCATTTCCATGTCATTCATGGCTGCTTTTGTATTGTAATAGCACAGTTAAAGTCTAAACCATTTACTGTCTGGC